ACGTCATCTGATGGCTCCGATTATAAGTAGATTAGAAAGGTTAGGCTATTTAATGATTTAATTTAAAAATGGACTAGTACTCAAATGACTAGTACGGTAGTTAGATCAATGCACACATCTTGTCAAAACTACAACCATTTATAACAAATAAAGTAATTTGAATGACATTTTCAATATATTCATTTTTGCATTATCTATTTGTGAAATATATCGAGAACGATCAGCTCTTTATCTAAATCTTACATAATACCCCTTTAAGATGGGTATGGTTTTAAATCAATGTTAAAGTGGTGGGGAAAAATCAGCTGTTGAATACTAATTTTCAAACCCCAATAAAATTCAATGACAACATTCATATCTTGTTTCGTCTTCATCCTCGAGGTTAAACGTCCGCTTCCATAAGCGTTTACTATATATAAGAAACTTGCCAAAGAAACCATACAGTAGGTTTAGTCCAGCGTGGGTAGGAGACGTGAGATCGATTAGTAGGCCTGTTCGATTTCGTTTCCTTAAATAAAGACATATTGCCTTTTGCAATGTGTCGTCCAAGGTAAATTTCATCCAAAGGTGTTGCTCTGGGGATTAGTAATGGGGTTTGTATGGGAAACCGTAAGAAGGCGAGCGTGCGTAGTCTGACAAGAGTTGCCATCAATGCTATGGTATTGTGGGGGCTAGACTGGTAGATCTGACTGGCAGCTAGACTCGTGGTCCCGCCGCCTGTCCGACCTGGGTCAATCATACCTTGCCATAAGTTTTAACACTTTATACTTTACACGAATCAGTCCGCTTACTCTAATACAAAAACCATTTCCCCGCCAATATAATCCCTTTAACTCGGTAATTAAATCTATGCCTTACAACTAAACAAATTCCAGACATAGGAAAGTGTGATCAACAATTACCATTCATTTCGTTAAAGGTACATTATGTAAGATTTGTATAAAAAGCTGATTGGTTCAAAAATAGATAATGCAAAATAAATATATTGAAAATTTCATTCAAATTACTTTATTTTGAGCCAAGTTATCACTTTTTGTAGTTTTGATAAGATGTGTGTGATTGATGGTGTATTAACTTAACCACGGTACTGGTATACATGTATTAGAGGCTAAGCCTCGCTTTTCCATTTTTAAATTAAATCTTAACATGGCCTCGAGTATCCGATGTCATCGAGATTTGATTATAGTCTTGCCATGTTAATAAATGTCTAATTAATAATTTATCCACAAAAAAATAAGATCTGCAACAATAGACAGATTTAGCTCTTGAATAATGTATAGAGTCCTTGAATACATTTTATTAAGCAATATAAATTACTGTCTAAACATCAGGGTTTTACCACATAACCCGGAACTAAACCAACTTGAGGTATATAACATAATTATAAGCAGTCTAAATAAAGAGAAGGGCAATACTATTTTAATCAGTGATTTTTCTAAAGCTTTTGATAATGTTTTATTAAACCGAACCAAGTTATATATCGGAACTTGTAGGTTATGGAGTTTAGCGCGTTAACCTTTTGCTTTTATTATTATGATCATATCAATGTGGGCTAATACACGGTTGGTAATATTGAATCCCAAAAATTAAAAACTATCAGGTATTACCCTAGTAATATCATTATCACATGCCTCGCCATTTCGTAGCTGAATTAAAAATTTCATTATGGACACCGTCAGGAAAACATCATTTATTGCAAGCAAGAAATAAATCAAGTAATGTCAATAATCACCCTCGGAATTGAAAGTATGTTACAAACAATATTAATGTATATAGATGCACAATTATCATACGGAGAGAGAGAGTTTATAGCCCGCCCGTTCCCCAATTCATTTTCTGTGAATAAATATTGTTTGTAAAAAATTTATCATCTGAATTTCCTGAAGCAAGATTTTGAAGGGTGCAAGTCGCTAACTTAGTATCATTCACAATCTTCGACATTGATGTTGTTATCTTACTGTGAATAAGAGAGAGAGAGAGGTGGGACTTAACGTCCACTCGACATAAACTAGGTCATTTAGGGACTAACACATGGTTCAATTTTATTTTAATAATTCGCTTGGGCGTAGGGGTCTTTAGCATTGGGATGAAACCGGAGGACCCGGAGAAAACCAACGAGGTTGGACAGGTGTCCCTACTCCTTGTCACGTACAACAACCGGGCATTCGAAACCACACCAGTTGACTCAAATGACAGACCTTATGATACAACGCGCACGTGCTACCCACTCGACCAACCATCCTCCACCCCCACCTAATTTTGAATAGCTGTACAGATCTAAGGAACAGTTATAATTAATTAATTTATAAAGACTATCAAAAGTTTTTATTTTTTATAATGTTGTATCAAATAGTCGTATCGCTTGTGTTGGTTATGGAAGCCTATAACTACCATTCATAATTTCTACGTTTCGCCTCTTCAAAACACGAAAGTCGAAAAGTCGAAAAGTAGAAGTTACGACAAAATGTGAAGCGACAACACGCTATACAAGCCAAAATCAACTAGAAAATAGGAAATGAAGAAATAACACATAGCGATAATAGCGCCCCTCGTTTTTCCTAATTTCTTATTGTCGACTTGCATGTTGGCTTGTATACCGTCGTGTCGACTGTCGACTTAGTCATATTTTTGTTTTTATTGATGTCAGTAAGAAGGCGCCAACACCCTATACAAGCCAAAATGAAACTCGAAAAGTAGAAATTAGGAAATTAACACACCACGCTATTAGCGACTTTTCGACTTTTCGCCTAGGAAGTTGTTGTAGTCTCAGTTTTCCAGGTCGCATTTGGATACTTGCAATCAGGGCTCACACTGTATTTCATGCTTTTCCGTCAAAATGGATAATAATTTTTATATAAAAAAAATGTTCATATTTTTTTTCCACCAACTGGGATATTTTATCTGCCAAAAATGTGTAGAAATTATGAATGGCAATTATAGGCTTCCGTAGTTGGTATATATCATTTCCTCACGAAAATGTAACTATATATGTTAGGTTTTAAAGCAGTATGTCTGATCTTATTTTTAATAGCTAATGTATACTATTGAAATATTTTAAACTTTTTTCTATATCCTTACGTACGAACTTATACATGTATAGGCATTCAATCCATTTCAAATAAATAAAATATTGTTTAAATTATAATTGAATTCTACTATATAATTACTTACTCTACATAAATGGTAGCAGCGCAGGAACTTTAACAGCTATCCGGCTTTCGTCCTTCTCGGGTAAAGATCTTTTGTCAACTGACAAAGATATCTGATTTAAAACAATAGTGATTCAATTATTCCCATCTGAGCACCTTCATTATCATGATGATTTTTTTTTAAAATGTATTTCTTATCCGAGTAAACTATGGAAGCACATTTTGGCCACGTGACAATAATTTATGACTGGAAATTGTACGGCAGTTACTCAAAATGTCCAGTTAATAACTTAAGCATATACTAACGTATCCAAGTAAGGCTAAATCGAAACATATTTGGATAACAATAAGGTAGTATGCGGTAGTATTTAGTAGTATTTGGTTATATTAGGAAGTATTTTGTGGTATATAGTTATTTTGGGTTGGTGTTCAGACTCCTGAGCTACGTATGTTGATACAATAAATAGACTTTAGCAGTTTACCATAAACATTTGCGAATTTACTCAATTTGTATTGATATAATTAAACTATTCTGTTAATTTTTCACAATACGGGGGTAGTAAGTGGCGGTGTTTATTATTGCTGGGTAAAATCATCGTGTTATCCTATATGTTTCTCTTTTTGACGATTTTGAAGTTATAAGAGGTGATTTCACTAACGAACTTATATGTACTAACCAGCTAGAACATTTACTTGTGGTGCTGTTAGGTGCACTGGTCATTTTGATGTACGACAAGCCCGTTTATATAAGACTACACGGGATCTCACGGCGACATAAACTTATAATTTTAAATAGAATGTTTAATCACCAGTGGCTCATGGCGTATGACAATTTTTCGTTACAATTATCGATATGCTAATCCAGTTAATCATGGCGGGTCTTCTTTAGTCGTTACGATTAGGAACCGAGTTGAGGTGGTTTGAAAATAATTGGGACGGGGTCTTTTTGGTTTGTGGTGGAATGCTATCTAATTAAAACAACGTATTTCATTAATAAAGAAAAAATCGGTGCCCATCATTCCTGGCATTAAATAACTGGATTATAATTGTTGGTGCGATTGTAGGACACTCAAGATGCGGGTGGAGGAATCTTGGGCCCATGCTGTTATATCTGTTGCGTGAGTGGGTGCTTCTGTCGCTGTAGACGCTACTGTGTCTGCGGTGTGTGTGTGAAATGGGGAAAGAGCTACTATCATTCGGGTGTTTTGTGGGGAGACACTACTAATGCTGTGGAATTTTGCTGTCGCTGTGGCATAGGGACAGAGCTACTTCCATTTTGGTTCTGTTGCTGTCGCTGTGAAATCGGGATAAAACTACTGACAATATTGTGTTGGCTTTTTTCTTTTTAGGGGGATGGCGGTTGGGGTGGGGCAGTACCGTTGTCGAGTAAGATAGTGCCGTTGTTGCCGTAATTTTGGTGATTGGGTAAACACTCAAGTGCTGTTGGTCGCTTTAGAATCGGGACAGAGCTTACTACCATTATGTTTTGGGGATACAACACCGTCGCTGTAGACTCGGACAGAGCTACTATTAACAACTATTGGTGTTGTCGTGGACTCATTGTGGTTACTGGGGACACACTACTGTCGTCGAGGGTGTAAGTGCCGCCGCTGCTGCTGCCGTTGCTATTAATGTGGACTTTGCTATATAATGTGGACTGTGCGAAGTGCTACTAGACTGCTATCCTTGTATCGTTATGTTATAGAGGAATTAGAGGGCGTGTACGGACACTGCCTTTCAAACTTAAGTACAAACTCCTCCAAGGCGAGTTGCTTTTACCTTCCAATCTCTTTTCCAAACAGTTTTCTCGGAAATCAAAAATATTTGTTTAAGACCAACTCGTACAATATGTTGTTTTGATTATTTTTTTTTTAATAAAAGAAAAACATCTGATCTGGGTAATTAATATAAATGACGTAATGTACAAGATATTAGCAATATAAATCTATATTGGTTATATTAAAATTATGTTAAATAATGATTCTATTTAAGAAAGTAAATATATAATGACTAATGATACTAGAACGTGTACCGTAAAGCAAGAACATATGGTGACTGTACATGTAATTACTGTCTTTAATGTATTCCACACAGATGATTTCCTAAATATCAAATTTTAATACTCTCAAAGACATGCTTGGTGCTAAGCAGTCCAAATGTGTACAATGTTAAATCAACCAACTGATTTGTCATCATGTCGAAATATTTTGCTATTTGAATGTCTCGAAGAGTAAATGAATTCATTGTTGCGTGCAAAGACAAATTCAGTTTCATTTACTCTCAAAGACATGCTTAGTGTTTAGTGGGCCAACTTTAAAATAACCAACTCTAATGCTGCATATCAAAACAACTCTTGCTCTACAGTAGTTTAACTTGCGTATTAAAATGGACGTAATAATTCTAAATATAGGCACTTTCAATATGGAACTAAACTACAACTGTACATGGGGATGCTTATGTTACTTTTATCAAAAGATTGGGATGAGTTCCAAATTTCAAAAGCAAATAAAATTCCTGAATTTAAAAACATAAAGAAATCTGTTTTTTTAACATAGGGATAAATGGCTTAACACAAAAACATACACACAAATAAAATAATAAAACTTCTTTTAATACCGGTTATGCGTAACGAAACGGATTGTCTTCATTTCTTTTTTTTTTTTTAGCTTCCAGCGAGTTTTCTTTCATTTACACTGAAAGGTCGGAATATTTGGTTCCATTTAAGCTGTGCAATATTTCGATAGATTTCGCGAGTTTTTCTTTAATTCGTTAGATACATGTACATGAACTGTTGTGATGGGGTCTCCTGTGACTATTTATAACAACAGATCCATATAGTCAGTCTAATTTTGGAAGAGATTTCATGTTAAGTACAAATATATATACTGACTTTAAAATAATATTCCGAATAAAGAATTCAATTTTGAACTATTGTCCCTAGACGCCGATAGGATACAAGAATAAATGAATGATATTTCAATATGTAGTGATTATATACACGTATGTAATGTTTACTATAATCATAAATACAGATAAATCTACTATTGATGTACACAGTATATATAATAAAAGATGCAGTATGTAAGATCGAAATCTGTCTATTGCAGGTCTTTGTTCTGGCTTCAAATGTTATACAAATTATCATTTAATCTTTTATTAACATTTATTAAACCCATAATCAACTCTCTGAGCCATAGTACAATTAGAACAACCTCGGACATTTTCATTTACGAGTTTAACGATGGTCTCAAAATATAGTAATTTGACTGTGACGGAAATTTTCATGACATTTTTTGAACCTATTATAGCGAAAACTGTCAGTTCTGTATCTAAACCTTACATGATGCATCTATTATAATCAACACAAATAAAAGCAACCTAAAATATGGAAGATTTTAAAAATCAAGAGTCAATCTAACACAATGACGGAAAAAAAACAGATGTATAAAAAATAAATCAAAATTTACAATTATGGAAAGTAATCATATATACAATTAACAATAAAAATTATTAAAGAAAAAAAACAATATGTATAGATAATGTGTATTATAATATAGATATATATTTATATCAGATTTTAATCAGGGGCTTTAAACATGTGCAATAAATGAATTAAAAACAAAAATTTCATGTGTGAACAATTGCAATGTATCTAAGTGAAACGGACATTTCATGTGTGACCAACTGCAGTGTCTAAGTGAAACAACTATGTGTGACCAACTGCAGTTTATCTAATTGGAACAAACACGTGCATTAACACAATTTAATTATGCAATGTGTCTAACAACTGCAATGAATTGTAGTGGAAAATCCATTGTATTAACAACTGTAATGACTCCAAGGAAAACGGTAGTTTTATTAACCGCTGCAAGGAATTTACATGTAAGAAATGGTAAACATAAAACGGCAGTCGTGGTGATTATATTGTTAATTTTCTATATAATCAATTAAAATAGACAATAAGAATACTCTGTACAATGAGAGAAAACTGTTGTAGCCCCTAATTAAAATCTTTATCATGTCATGATTTATAGTATTTAATATACATAAGGGTAGTGTCCAAACGGCTAACCTATTTCCGAGTCAACTTTTCAAACCCGTTTAAAAAATTACCCTATTCATCAACTAACGAACGGAATGATGTTAAACCGTTAACGAATAAATGTTTTATGATTTGTTATCCCCAAATAATAGCAATGGATATCCGGATAACCGGTAAACTACGAAGAAACAATCAGTAACCGTTTGAGCACCACCAACAAGACAAATGTTGGTCGGATTCTAACTAAATCGCAAAAACAATTTCCCGACAGTGTGCCAGGCATACAATTATTAATTCTATGTAATTGGAAACTTATATGAGGGGCTATAGCATATTTTTATTCGTCACAGCGTATAATCACATCGAGCCAACATTCTGTATCGAATATACGATAGGGTTTTTAAACTTTGTAAAGTTTCAAATTGTATGAATTCGACCAACCGAACCAATTAGGAATGTTTGATAGTATAAAATGATTGTCCTGATTTACACGTATGATATAACATAATATAATACTATTACTAATAATAATAATAATAATACGAATTTAAATGCTACGTGATGGATAATATTTACACTTCAATGATTATTATTCTTAAACAAGCCCAGATTTAATATCACCACCGTGATTCTTTCAACGGGCATAATCATCTTTTGCTTCTTTTTATGATTATTGGATTTTTTTAACTGCCTCTATTAAATGGTTTGATTAGACCCGGAATTAATTAAGGAATTTAGTCTATTATTATGCATTTGATATTCTCTAATCAGATACCATTGGTAACTCGGCACACTCCCTGCTAAAACGACTAAAGGTGGGGATAATAATTCATTTTATTTTTTAATTATAATTCTACAACAATTTAAAGCATTTTGTTAAGAGACAGCCACATAGCCAGATGTCAGTTAATGTGAATATCTGAACAATGTGTGTTACATTGATAATTTCAAAGGCGACACATTTGTGACATTTTATATTGTTCATGGCGACACGCATGTAGCATTTGGTACTGTCGAAGGCAACATATTTGTGATATTTTGTACTGTCAATGGAGACATATCTGTGACATTTTATATCGTACATGGTGACATTTTATATCGATCATGGCGACATATTACTATTAGTGACATTTTATATCTATCATGGCGACATATTAGTGACATTTTATATCGATCATGGCGACATATTAGTGACATTTTATATCGTCAAAGGCGACAAACAAATGTTATTTTGAAATAACACAAGATCAACAAAACGATCAGACATTGCTTCGATGTGTCGTAATACCAACTAGGTGACATAAAATCTGAATTAATATCCATTTGTCATTTGGATACATTAATATATCGTGATGTATTTAAAGATTTTAAATCTGATTTTCTTTTAAAATTCGCGTTTTAGCCTCATAAGAGTATCTCCTTGCTAATCCGGCTACGTTACTGGACAGGGACCAGTTTGTTGGGAACTTGAAGGAACTACTAGCTAACTTACAAAAATATATAAAAAAGACATTTCTGTTTGGATATATAATACAACCCTTGGGATATTGTACAAATCAAGCAACATAAAATATATAGAACAGGACCAAAAATAAGATATTATTCTGTTTCATGTTCAGAATAACTCAATACAAGGTCCCTTTCAAGTGTTTTTGTGGTTGTTTCGTTTCTATCTAGAAGGAGCGAGGTTCAGATAAATAATTTGTTATTACAACATATTCTAAATACAACTGGGGATCAATATACAGTGTATAATATGCAATTGATAAAGGAGTCAATATTCAGCTGTCTGACACATTAATTCAAGGGGTCTCACAAAAAACAACAATTCACAACCAAATCATTATAAATTATTCCTAGAAATCAAACATCTATCAGTGTGTGCTACACCAGTAATAATCAAAACTATCCCTAATCGCATTTAAAATACAATACCCATAGCTACACACACATTAATTAGTTACTTTTCTCTTTGAACTCACATTCTTCAACCCAATTATTTCACACCTGACAATTACAAACAATTTACACGTTATTTTGATTTTATCACTAGCTAAATCTTAAAATAGTTCTTTTATCTTTTACCGCAATATTCGTCCTGTTGTTTTACACGGCGGAACCCAACATGGCGTTCGATCCTCTGATATCAGTACCATCTTCGGCTAAGTAGATATCTCTTGGAGCATCGTCTGATTCGAAACTTTGGTCCATACCTTGGTTTGTACGACCACCATTTGTCTGAATGGTGTATGGCCGTCTATCTCGATCGTTAGGTGAATCCTCCATAGATTTATTTACTCTACCGCGAACCTCCTGAAATGATAATCACATAACACTTATTTTAAAACCATTGAGATGTTATTTTGAAACTAATAAAATATTATTTTGAAACTAATAAAATATTATTTTGAAACTAATAAATAGTCATTTTGAAACCAATAAGATGTTATTTTGAAACCTAAGAGGTGCTATCTTGAAACCAATAAGACAATATTTTGAAACCAAAAAGATGTTAGTTCGAAACAAAAATAATTTATTTCGAAAACAAAAATATGTAATTTTGATAACAAAAATATGTAATTTTGATAACAAAAATATGTTATTTTGAAAACAATATAAGATGTTATTTTGAAAACAATATAAGATGTTATTTTGAAAATATAAGATGTTATTTTGAAAATATAAGATGTTATTTTGAAACCAAAAAGATGTCGTCAGGACTTTAAGTTGAGGAGGATTTCTCACATAACCTTTTAAATTGGATATCGCTCATTGTTTATATGAATGACAAGCAAAACACTCTCCCTGTTTTTATTAGAGAGCAATGAGTAAAATGCACCATATTGAACCCTGTAACATTCTCAGTTGTAACTAGTATAAAACCATAAAAACATAAGATAAAAGAAATGAGAAATTCAAAAGGGCATCTGGGGATTTTTAACGTCTTTCTAGGGACACTATCTATACTTTAGTAGAAAATGGAGCAGGAACTACACAACGAAAAGGATGACACAAATGCAATGAATGGGGTTTAGCATCATACTTTTGTGTTTGACTGAGGTAATGAAGATGGAATAGATGAAACAAATGATACATTTGTACAAGATACAATCGTATACCTTCAAACGATATACAACTTGTAACAGAATGCTGGAACATTTGTGGTCTTGGGAGGGATGCAACACCACCTGTGCAAAGTTGTCCCGGTGAGGATGGACAAAGAAAGTTTACAAAGAAAGATGTTATCAAAATCCCGAAGGTCTTTCTTGGTTCGCCTATCTCCCATGGCCCCACGAAGTCGAACTCAGTTTTTGATTCAATCGCCATCAACATATTGCATTGAATTATTACAAATACCACCAGATCTAACAACACGGGTCACAAATAAAATATTTTATATCTACCTAATTTGGACAGTACTCGGTACATAATATCAAAATATTTATGTAATTTGGACACTAAATAAAGGTCCTTAATATCAAAATATTTGATATTTGACTAATTTCGGATTTCCTTACCGTTTCGTCAGGCTTACGGTTCACTGAAATTCCAAAGATACGATGAGCTATTTTCCTGGTGGAACCAGTATCTGTGTTTGTCTTTATAATTATACAATATAATACATTAATTGATATAGGACACAGGGTGAATCTATAGGGCACGCGATGAATCAATAGGAGCTGAATCAATAGGACACTGGATGAATCTATAGGACACTGGATGAATCTATAAGACACAAGATGAATCAATATGACACTGGATATTTCTATAGGACACGAGATGTATCAATAGGAAAATTGGTTTAACAATACTTTGGTCCCAAGTATCCACTACAAATGAGAGAGAGAGAGAGAGAGAGAGAGAGAGAGAGAGATGGGGTTTAACGTCCACTCGACACAAACTAGGTCATTTCGGGACTAACATATAGTTCAATTTTATTTTCAATAATTCGCTTGCGCGTAGGGGTCTTTAACAGTGGGAGGAAACCGAAGGACCCGGAGAAAACCCACGAGGTTGGACAGGCAACCTTACTCCTTGTCACGTACAACCGGGGAATCGAATTCCCGCCAGTTGACTCTATGACAGACCGTATGATACAGCGCGCACGTGCTAACCATTCGGCCACCCCACTACAAATGAAATGACAGCAGTTTTATATCAGCGGTAAGTTGCTTGTTACTGTATCCAATTATTCATTTTATTCCCTTTATGATTGTATATACGAAATATGAATAAATACTGTTTAAATCAAATGGAATGAAATGAAAATCCTTTCTTTCCAGCACCGATAAGACTAATAAAAACACTTGTTAACAATACATTGAAATTATTGTAAAATCAATAGTGTTTTGTTGATGTGTTTGGTAAGTATGTTCATAAATCACTGTGCAATATAACACAGACAGGGGGGGGGGGGTAATTTTATACCAATTTTGCATCAATTAAGCACGATATTTTACTCATAAGTTAACTGTATAGATATCTTTCGACCCACATAACAAATAACCAGTAAAATAAAACCAAAATGAAAAACACCAAAATTATTACAAACAATTTTAATACATATCTGAAAATTATATCTACAATTGCAAATGTACAAAAGTTCGGCTAACATATAATATTAAAATATTATAAAAAAAAATAATATACAAGGAATGATTAAAGCTGCATCGGATGTATATCAGAATATAGTAATTATCATTAAGCTGTATCAGACCATACATGTGGTAGGTTTCCTAAACATGGACAGTTGCTTTCATTTGAAGGTGCTATTTCCCGTCAACCAAAATCTTAACTCACTATTTCATTTTTAAATTCTATTCTGATACTCAGTGTATATAACGCAGTAAAGGGCACATGAAATTCACTAATGTTGCATTGAGCCCAGTGTCTACGATTTTTCAAATTTATATTAAAAGCGCTATTCTCAAATAGAATCCACATCATTTGACCCTGATATGAGAGAGAGAGAGAGAGAGAGAGAGAGAGAGGGATTCTTTGATTTCACTATTGTCTAATTTTGGGGATTTTTGGTCTGGTTGAGCACTAAACATACATTTTGAACAGTAGTTATTTTACACACTTCACGTACATAAAATAACAACTATTAACTTTTAGCGACAGCCATACATATGCCTAGTCTAAACCGTTTAGTCCAGCACTGTGGTAAGGATATCGTTTGATCGCGAGTCCACTATAGTAAACACGACAATTTACCGTTTAGCTATACCGACCTGCAAATTCAAGACTACTGTATTGGTCTAGTTCTTTAAAACAACTATTAGCTCTATTAAAAATAATTTATGATATTAGATTTATTATTTACATGGTGAGGTAACATGGCCGCCTATCAAATTGGGCATAATGTTATTACTGTTAATTGATGCCCGACCCCTAGTCCTGTGTACCCGCAGTTCAATTACTAAATGTTGCACAGTAATAAACAGTGATTGTATTCTATAGAATAGGGTCTTGTGTCTCAGTGATTTTATTTTATAGAGTAGTGCCCTGTGTTTCAGTAATAAACAGTGATTGTATTCTATAGAATAGTGTCCTATGTCACAGTAATAAACAGTGATTATATTCTATAGAATAGCGTCCTGTGTCTCAGTAATAAACAGTAATTGTATACTATAGAATCGTGACCTGTGTCTGAAAAATAAACAGTGATTGTATTCTATAGAATAGTGCCATGTGTCTCAGTTATAAACAGTAATTATATTCTACAGATTAATGTCCCGTGTCTCGGTAATAAACATTAAGCATATTCGATTAAACACTTTAACAATCGATTAAAAGATATAAGCTAACCGAATTATTATTGTGCCACTCAACATAATTATGATAACTTCAATAATACATGTATCTATTAAATTTATATAATGACTGAAGATATAAAGTTAATCAAATTATTATTGTGTGTATTAAAATAATGATGATCACATCAAAACTAATGTATCTATTGAGTAAGCAAATTTATATAAAAAAAACATATAATAAAAAATATATTGAAATAATATCAGATACTGCTTTTGATCGTTTAATTTTGATGGAAGATTCAAATGAATCAGTATGTAAGAAATGTATATAACCTCAAGCAAGCCACGGAATTATTTATATATAGTCTGGATAAATGCAATAGAATAATGTGTAAAATCATACATATAGGTAAAGATGTGTTATGCAAGAGCTAAGTCTGCCTATTGCAGGTCATTATTGTGGCTTCAAATGTTATATAAACTATTATTGAGAATTTATTCACAAGACAAACCTGTAATCAACTCTCTAGATCGGCGGATGGCCGAGATTTTACATGGCGTGAAACATGATCACCATTTAATAATTTAATTTAAAATGGATAACCTAGTCTTAATCTCGATTGTCAAGTACAATCTACCCTACATCTTCAAATAACTTCGCTCAGAATAAAGTAATTTGAATGAAATTTTCAATAATCATTTTTCCATATCTTTTTTTTGACTACTATAGCAACAGCCGCCAGCTCTTTATCTAAATCTTACATACAGCATCTTGAAGCCTAATATTAAAGAAACTCTAAAATTCATGTAACATTTTAGTAATTATTGAATAAACATAAAATCCAGGTTAATTTGTATTTCGATTGCTACGTGTGTGCAATGAAGGTGGAACTAATTTTTCCCTACTTTTCTAAGTCAAAGCTTCTTTTACCATGCATGTCAATGCACTGCCTGAAGGACCAGGCACACCTTTCGTGTTGCCCACATCAGGTGAAGGCAAGCCTGAAAAATCCTAAAGGTTCTACTTGCACATACTTTTGTCATAGGAATAAAATTTGCATACAGAATTTAAAAGGCTACATTGGCCTTAAGAGATACTTTGTTAGGGAATATTACAATTTTTGGCAATTAGAAAATGGAAGATTAAGAGTTAGCCTTAACAAACATAACAATGTCAATGCTTTGAAACACCTATTGGAGATGTACATGTATACATGCCATTAATCGGAATACAAGTTGTTCACATATACAGTACAGGTCAGGTGGAAGTATGAAATAAGTCCTTGGTGGTGTTTATTCCTCTCAAGAATTGCACAGTTTTTCCTATTTACATATTAAAAGTATTTCATACCACACAATCCAAAACAGAACATAACAAATTATTAACAATAATATAAACAAAATTAAGTACAGTTGAATAAGGCACCTTGGAGATTAACATAATAAACATTATAATATACATAAATTACTACTATATATACCTACCTATATGCCAGGGGAGTTATTTACAAAAAACTTAACACTAAAATATTTTAAAAATTCAATTCTTGCATTGGTAAAGAGCTAAAAGTTGTGAAAATGAAATGAAATAGGGTTTAACATCTTACTGTTCTGCTCCGATTGGTCATACGCCATGTAGTGTGCTATGAGGGAAATTTTGCCCAGATAGCGATGCTTATATCGAATTCCAACTGCTGAGGATTTTTTTACATGCCATCCAATGTGTACATGAGACCTTGGTTTTTATTCCTATCCGAACAACTATACGTTGTCCCTTGGCAGGCCCTTTGTCCTGCACCACTGAGAAGGGAGAAGCATGCTGGAAAATCCAAATGAACTTTTTCGGCCAATGCAGGAATCGAACACAGGATCTCCAGGTTTTGGTTAGTGGGCCAACCTCCTACCCACTGAGCCACTGTGACTACTAAAATTTGCATTAGTGATCAACGAATGAAATGTTCGCATCCTTAAAATATTTTAGTAGAAGTTTTTTGTGAATTAGGCCCCAGTTCTTTATAAAGTACAAATGTACGGCTCTTATTTTAGAATTTTACTTAACAATCAACTGTTTCCTTATTTTCTTTTTCAAAGAATTTTAACAATTTTAGGATTATCTTATTTTCTAAAACCATTTTCATACATAGAAGTAGAAAATATACATTTAGCTGTATTTATAATCACTTAGAACATCTAAATATGCTAATAAATATGGCTTTCTAAATTAAATTGAAGCTAAAACATGTTCAAAGCCTTATTGATCAATTTCTGTTCTTAAAGTTTTGGCAAATTTTTATAGTATTATCTCTATATTTTTACAAATAAAAACCAATACATGTAGTATCTGTAATTATTGCATTTACGGTTAAATTCCTTGAGATTTTAATATTAAGGCCTGTAAATCAACTGACTGGTAAATATCAATGCCTGTCATTGGTCAGTCAAGAGTAGCAAACATGTCCTCTTTGTAACAACCCAAGGCAGTCTTGGTAAATGGCACAAATGGTATATATTAATTCTGAGGTAAAATTTTCTAAACTATTCTAAAACCATGACTATTCTATCTTTATATACAAATATTGAGGTGCCACCTTTATACATGGTGTAACACATGTGACTTAAGCCTAACACATGTGACATGGGCCTATATACAGGTATAACACATGCGAGATAGACCTACATACAGGTGTAACACATGTGGATTAAGCCTATTTACAGGTGTAACACATGTGACTTATGCCTATATACATGCATATCTAACACATGCAGCGGACTTGCGTCAACACATGGACTTTAAGGCAAGATTATAACTTACATTTATTTACATGTGTACTTTGATTATTTCTCCCAAAAAGTGTTAATTTAAAACTCAAACTTGCTTTTATTGCAATTCTATAATAACTGGAAACATCTGGTTGTTTATATAATTAGCCAACCTAAATATTTTACCAAAACTTAATCCTGGATATTTGACTTAACATGAAGAATAAATTTTAAATTCTTTTACTCTTACTGTCGTTAAAGGATTAAAAACCAGTGACATACCGAGAATTAATCTATTCGAATATAAGTCCTCATATTTTTTTCTTAAAAACTCAAATCTGAAACAGAGTTACATGTATCTATCTCCCACTTATTTTGATATTGACCAAAACTTTCTAGATATTTTCTCTGGGTGAGAGAAAGTTAATAAACAAATTACATTGTACTGTATCATTTTGGTCTAATTGTACTCAGATAAAATGACTTATCCTTCATATGGAAATATGCATATTATTAAGCTTACTGATTAATAAAGATGGAAGTGAGGAACTTTTTATAGCCATAACTTACAATACATGTAGGATTAATCCATTCTATTAGGTTTGGTATGTCTTCCCTTTTGAGTTCTCTTATTGTTTATTGTCTGAGAGTCTATATTTACCATTTATTTTCACATTTTAATTATGATATAAATCTTAAACCCTTTCAAATATTTATAACCCCTATACAACCTGTTCAAATACCTATAATCCCTTTTCAACCAGTTCAAATATTCAAAACCCCTATACAAACGGTTCAAATATTTATAATCCCTTTTTCAACCTGTTCAAGCCAAGGCATTGGACTGTAGTATATCGTTATAATGTACATGTATATCTTAACACTGTCACGATGAGAATGAACTAAGCTAAGCGATCAAGTTAAAAAACAAACTAAAACACACAGAAACCATACAAAATCTATACAATAATATAAAAGTTAGTTTAAAAAAAAATGGTTGGTTTTCTTCATGTTTTCCAGCTGTCCAAATCAAACACAATCAGCTGAAGAAATGGTTTCAATTCCACACATATGAATATACATGTATCGTTAAATTAGGATTCAACAACGCCAGAACTCTATTTATTGTCTTTTCTTCTCCAGACTCGAAACACCACACTCATGATACACGCACAGATGCATATTCGATCGATTGGTCCTCGCTCGATTTTCTGGATGAGAAATCTTCAGGATGATTTTTGCGATATTCTGCCCGCGTTAGTTCGAGATCGGCATAGTGTAAACCTTCGACATTCTTGTGGTAGCCATTATCAGACTGCAAAAAAACAAAACAGAGGACAAATTCATCATGGCAGTTCTATTTACCTGGTAAAAAACATTGGAATCAATAGAAAATCAAAAGTTATTTTCTAAAATATCTTTTACCATGATAACTACTGCCAAGACTTAAATTTACCCTTGTTTTGTTTTTGTGGCTTTGATCCTATTTTCCCACCCAACCAAACGTTTCAGTCATGGGTCGCAAAATTACACGTGGAAAACCGATAATTAGTTAGCTGGTGTGACTGGTATTACAGCCTATCATGAGCTATTGTAACTTTCTCGATTGCATAAAAAGTGTCCCATATTTTCATTATTTACTTAGAAAAATTAGCAAGAATTTTAAAAAACTCAAAATTTAAAAAAAAAAAAAACAAAAAAAATAAATAATACAATTTGAATATTTTTGTCAGTATTATCATGGAAGGTGATATTTTATAAAACAAATTTGATTGGATAATTCACAAAAATAATTTACACAAACCAACACCACAACAGAGGCATGCAATGAGTTTAGTAAAAAAAAAAAAAAAAAAAAAAAAAAAAAAAAAAAAAAAAAAAAAAATAGGTGATATTAAATTATTTGATTCTAATTTCTTGCTAAAATTTCTAATACATTAATTGGTTCAATTTATAACTAATATATGATAATGATGTAATAAATTATAGTAGAATTTGTTTAATGTCCTAATAAGGGCACAAAATTAAATATACGGGTATATGTATTCAAGATCTCAACAAAGACACCTGCCATGGAGGGACAATTTCAGGATTAATTTTCTCAGGTATATTTCTGTTACATAGCTTTACTGTTGTTGTTTTTTTTTAAATTAATGCATATTGTGTAAAATCCAGGTAAACTTGAACCTTATTCATTGAGGACAGAATGTATTACAGTATCAAAGATAGAATTTGTGTAATTTTTTTACCAAAAATGTATGTAAAGTGGTTATGAAAGCAGTTGACATGGCAACTGAAGAGTTTTAAATATCTTAATTTTCAAATTTTAATCCCATTAATACTATTTTTGTTTATCCAGCTTCAAGGCTGTTTATGTTTATGATGAAGATAATAATTGATGATGATGAAGATTGATGATTATAATGAACATTTTGTTATTAATGATTGAAAAAATGATTGTCATATTAATCCCCTTAATACTATTTTGTTTATCCAGCTTCAAGGCTGTTGATGATAATAAAGATGATAATTGATGATGATGAAGATTGATGATGAAGATTGATGATAAAGATTAATGATGATTTTATCATGCACATTTTGTTATTAATGATTGCAAAAATGATTGTCATTTACATTTACATGCAAAACAAAAGCTACACTCAACTTCTCATGATTCTTGTCTATAAATGGATATTTGTCCCTTCAGATACTAAATATGGGGTTGAGGGAGTCACTTGTGTTTCCGAGGAAGTGGTTGAGAGTGTCTCTTCTGTTACTGAAAATAGGGGGGGGGGGGAGGGAATACCTTTTGTTACTTAATATGGAGAGTGTCTCTTCAGTAACTGAGCAAGGGGATGAGTCCCTTTTGATGGGGGTAAGAGAGTCCCTTCTTTTACTGAATACGGCAGTGACAATGTCCTGTCTGATACCGAAAATAAGGCTAAGAGAGTCCCTTCTGATACAGAAAATAGGGCTAAGAGAGTTCTGTCTGATACTGAAAGGTGTCATCAGAGAGCCCCCCGCCCCCCTGTTACTGAGCAAGGTGGAGAGAGAGTTCCTTTTTACTGAGCAGGGGGTTGAGAGGGTTCCTTATGACACTGAGTAAAGGGGTGAGATAGTCCCGTTACTGAGCAGGCAGGTGGAGAGAGTCCCTTATGATACTGAGAGTAAAGGGGTGGAGAGAGTTCCTTGTGAGACTGAGTAAAGGGATGAGAAAGTCCTGTCTGTTGCTGAGCAAGGTACATGTAGTGTGAGTTTCTCTTGTGTTATTGAATGAATGAATGAATGAATGAACACATGAAATGATACACATGAATCATATGGTAGATAATCCTACAAAAAAAGGACAGTGAGTGAACAGCATTCAACTCTTGATAAGGATGTGTGCTCCTTCCATAAATTTATTGTATTGGTGTGGTAGATTCTCCTTCCTGTTCTGGGATTGGTGAGGTCCTATTCTGGTATTGATTCTAAGCTGTTGTGGACTAGCATCCCTGCTGTTACTGGGGAATATCTCGCCTCCTGCTGAATTGGAGTCAACCAATGGGTCCCTTCCTCTGACTGAAATGAGTTGGAGAATGGGTCCCTACCTTTGATTGAAATGAGCTGGAGAATGGAGCTGAGTTGGAGCTGGTGTGGGCTAGCATCCCTTCTGTTACTGGGGAATATCTTGTTTCCTGCTGAATTGGAGCTAACCAACGGGTCCCTTCCTCTGACTGAAATGAGTTTGAGAATGGGTCCCTAACTTTGACAGAACAAAGTTTGAGAATTGGTCCCTACTTTTGACTGAATAAAGTTACAGAATAGATCACTACCCTTGACTGAACTTTTGGAATGGGTCCCCACTTTTGATTGACTTGGGATCTCTACCTTTGACTGGATAAAGTTGGAGAATGAGTCTCTACATTTGACTGCATAATAATAATGGGTCATTACCTTTGACTCAACTGAGTTTGGGAATGGGTCCCCATTACCTTTGAACAAAGTTGGTGACCGAGTCCCTGTCTGTGACTGAATTGGAGATAGAGAATGGTAGGCTCACTAGAACCTAATTGGAGCTAAGTGTAGGTAATGGGTTCCTTCCTTTAAATAAATATACCTTGGACTGAATTTGAGTTAGAGTAGAGTTAGTTGATGCAACAGGTGTTAGGTAATTGAATGAATGGGGGCTTAGAATATAGGTCCTTACCTTTGATGCAATTGGTGTTTGTTAATTGAATGAATGGGGAGTTAGTGAAAGACTGATTTGCTTGTGGAATAGAATCTTGCTTTGAATGAGAGAGCCTAAAGGAGGTCAAACAATTCTACAAGAACATACATGAAACTATAAGGGAGGAATGAACGAGGGTATTAATAACACTGACCAGTTGGTTACAGCATGTTCTCGCAACACTCTCAATAACTTGACCAGAGGAGTGTAACAATCGCCAAACCTATCAAGTATCTACAGAACATGCATCATTGAGATAAAATAACAATTTACTCACATTATTTTGTGTCCGATCATGATCAAGGGTGTCAGGTGTCATATGAGGATTTCTGAAAAAGAGAAAAATGTCAAAAATGTAGGGTTTTAGTCCCAATAATTAACGCACATGTATAATATGGGGTACAAGTTGAATATTCATATTTTACAAGGTTTTTTAACAACCTACTGTTCAAATGAAGACATGATTTTCAACTTCAACGCAATCTTTCATCAAGTGACAGAAGGGTAGCTTAGTGTAAAGATACATGTACATGTTTATAAAAACAAAATGCAAATAAAATTAATTTATTTACAATAATTAGCTGCTAAATGTAGGAGTATATTAATATTCCAGGTAGTAAAAAAAAGAAGGTTTGTTCTAACATTTTAAATAAAATAAAATGGGTTTAACATCCTACTGTTCTGTATCAACTGAGCTAATGAAGACAGGCATACCCCATACAGTGGGCTATGGGCGGCAGCAGCACTATGGCCTACTCTTATTTCAAATTCCAAACGTCAAGGGTTCTTTTACATGCACGACAATGTGTACACGGGACCTCAGTTTTCTGTCCCATCCGAACGACTATACATTGTTTCTTCTGCACAACTGACAAGGGGGAACCATGCTGAAAAATCCTGATAAACTTTCTCGGTTAACACATGGATCGAACATGGGATCTCCGGGTGAACAAGCCAACGTCTTAATCACTGAGCGACTGTTTCTCCCAAGATGATATAAAGATGGCCAGTATTGAAATATGTCAGGTTTAGTCACATGGTAAATGATTAGATAACTTGGTCAGCATCGTACATGAAATATAATACTCACGTTTGTGACTTCATACGGTCTTCATGTGTATCATCTGAAATATAGAGTTATTTCCCTTATTACACCATATTATTACAATCTCTATTCTGGGTTCCAGACCAATTAGCTTAACTCTAGCTTTTACCCTGTGGCTAGCGCTCAAGGTAAATTTCGGTCGTCAAAAATGTAATTCAAGCTATTTTCTTAGGTACATGTATTTAGCTCTTAAATCTTAACATGAAAGAAACAGGGTTTAACGTCCACTTGACACAAACTAGGCCATTTTTTTTCCAACAATCTGCAAGCACGTAGGGGTCTTTACCACTAGGAGGAAACCGGAGGGTGCACAGGTGACTCTACTCCTGGTAACGTACACGCGGGGAATCGAAACCAACGCCACTTTTTGGCCACCACCACCCCCACCCCCACTCCCATGAGATGAGAAAGATTTTGTAAACTTTAACTTACAATCTTTTCCTGCTGTCTGTTTTCTTTTCTTCAGAACCACAATGACGACAATAATAACAATGACAATAACAACAATAACAGCAACAACTATTCCTGCGATCATACCAGCATTATCTGTACTATCTGGAAATAAAACAAATATACAATCTTAATCAAAATTGATGTTACCTGTACATGAATATAAACCATGAAGGAGTAAATTACATGTAACAAACATAGGTCTTTCATCATTGATAAACACAAGTACAAGCAACGTAGCTTACACCTAAATTTCAAAACTTTTCATGCATAGTTACCATTTTAAATAAATTGATTTTAGCGATTTTGCAATGTAGGTTGATATTCAAAGCTAATTTTCCAAGAAACTGACAAACATATGGTTTTTAATCTCTCTGTTCTTAAAGTTCTTAAAACAGCTACGGATACACTATCCATGTGACAATTAACAACCTCTCTATAGTAAAATTCTTACATTGTTTCGAAATATTGATTTCTTTTCTCAAAAGTAATGACTTTTGGCACTTAATGCATGCCATACATAGTAGACAGAGCTTGTTCGGAAAATCTGATGGATGGTGGATTATTAATTTACATAAAAAGTTCTTCCAAATCCCCAAATTTGAAGAATATTGTCTAACTATAGAAGGAATAAAACCAGAACGCCAGAATAGATTCATAGAATAGTATGCTCGAACGAAACATACTTGTATGAATGGTACCTGTATCTCAGTCAATATTAATTCTAGAATCACAGTTTTATAAAAGTCTATATGCATATGTTCCATAACTTATAATTTTTTCATAGTATTCTGCAGGGGCCATGACACAACTTTCTTAGAATTTGTTTCATTTGACATGGAATGATACAGGTTCTGATTCCTTCACAGACCATCCACCCTGCCCGTTAAAAAAAAAAACACGCTGGAGGTTACTCACTCAACACCAGGATCAAACCCCGGACCTCCTGGTTAGCTCTAAACGTGAACAAAATTGTTTCAGAAAATGGAATTTAACAAAATTTTGGTGAATATATATATTGTACATTGTAAATTTATTGATAAATATGGGGATAAATCACTTTGAAATAAATTCGACATCATGTGGTAAAAATTGATTAATGAAAAAGCTGTCCAACCATCCCTAGTTATTACACTATTTTCCTGTAAATGCGAATAGTAAAACAGTCATCTAGTACTAAGACAATGTGTGATAAGACCCCTGGACCCACGCCTATAAGGACCTAGGATGGAAGCCCCCTCAATCAAGAATTGCTTCCGACGCCCCTGATATTAAAAGCAACTTGGATATCAAAGGTTTGAATGCATGTAGTCACTGATGTTAAAGATGCATTATTTAAGATTTAGGTAAAGATTATTTTGAAAATTACTTTATTCTGTGCAAAATTATGAGTTGTTGTGTAGATTGTTTTCATAGCAATGGTCCTAATTGACAACTCGATTATCTATCTTTATCATTAAACTATTAAATGGCCACAGTGTTCTCATCTCCCTAAAATTGAAGACATCCAATGGCCAAGAGAGTTAATTGGAAGTTACTTTGACAACCCAAGAAAAAGTTAATTACCAAATTGCATCTTATAAGGCCCACAAAAACTGAATAAATGTTCAGTAAAAAGTATTAAGAGCGCATACACAATTCAAAGCACTTTTATTTCAAAAAAATAAATAAATATTTTGGTCGAAGCAATATTCATATTAATCAATTCTAATTTAATGACCATTCAATGAAGCATTATGTAAGTGCTAAATCTGCCTACTGCAGATCATGTGTTTGGCCTCAAATGTTATATAAATCATTAATAGGCATTTATTCAAATGTCAAGTCCCTAATAAAAAAATCTAAGATATTTTCAGCGGATTTAAACACGATTGCAAGAAAATAATTTAATAAAAAAAAATTGGATAATCAAGACTTTGTAATTATTGTAACAAAGGTAGCAATGACAATCGAGACTACACCATTCTTCAAACTGCCATAACTCCGTTTAGAAAGAAATAATTTGAAATTTTCAACACAGGCCTATTTCCTTTTTGTTACATGTATCTATTCTTGAACTATTATATCGAGAACTGTCAGCTCTTTATCCAAATCTTAAAAATGAAAGATCTGCATTAGTCAGATTTAGCTCTTACATAATGCATTTTCTACTAGCTAGGGTTGGTATTTTGATTGAGCTTTCTTAATTAAAGGGGCATTATGGAAGATTAGATAAAGAGCTGACAGTTCTTGCTATAATAGTTAATGAGTAGATAACGTAAAGAGAATAATGTGCTGAAAATTGCTTCACGCTGAATACTGTTGCCTCGATTGTCTCAATTATCCATTTTTACAGTTAAAGATGAACAGTCGTTGAATCGCAGATCGGATTCAAATCTTTTAAAATCGTACCCATCAGATGGCATCGAGATTTGGTTATGGTCTTGCCATGTTGCCATGTCCAACAGTTTATATAACATTTAAGGCCTAAAGAAAGATCTGCAATAGGCAGGTTTAGCTCTTACATAATGTATGTTTAAATGTTAAATAATCAATGGGAGTACATATTTAGCGTGCATTAAGCCGTGAGAAAATTGACATAGCGTGAATGCAAATGGCACATCAGGACTTTCATTAAACAGAAGTGTAACAATCATCATAGAAAATATGAAATGAGATGGGGTTTAATGTCCTACTGTTCTGCTCCAACTGGGCTAATGAAGACAGACATATGCCATAAAGTGTGTTATGAGGAAAATTTTGCCCGGACAGAAGTGCAACGACCTACACTGTATTCTTATATCAAATTCCAACTGCCAAGGGATCTTTTACATGCACGGCAAGGCCAGGCTTCTCAGTGGCATGCAGAGAGGGTGTGGGAGCAATGGGTCAACAGCCCCAGGCATCCATTTCCCGGGGGCATTCAGTCAAAGAATGAAATTAAAATTGAGTTTTTAAAAATTACATGTATTGCTGCTAACTTACATGTAGTTGTACAAGCTGCCTTACTTACATTGTAATATGAATAAAAAGTATAATTAATTGTTTTTAGACATTCAAAATATCTTCCTTTATCAAATTTGACTGTAGTAGACCCTATACTGCAGTCTTGGGGGCATACAATCATACATGTACTGCACACTGTGGCCTCTAGTCATATAAACTGCTAGGTGTAGTTATTATGTCTTGCAAGCTCTAACTTAATCAAAATTACCATTACTACACAAAGCTACAAGTACATATATTTATGTAAAAGCTCATACTTCTTTAAAATTATTATTATTATAAACAAAGCTACATACATGTATTATTGTAAAAGTTCCTACTCAATTAAAATTAAATATATCATTTCTAAACAATTTACATGTACATTGTACTTTTGTAAAAGCTCATACTCAAGTTCCTATTCAATTAAAATTACCATTATTAACCTATAAACAAAGGTATTTATGTAAAAGTTCCTACATGTACTTCATTAAATCTATTACTATTATTATTATTATTGACAAAGTTACATGTACATGTACTTCCGTAAAAGTTCCTACTCAATTAAAATTACTAAGATTACAAACAAAGCTAAATGTACTTCTGTAAACATTCCTACTTATTCAAAATTACCAATATTAAACCAAGCTACAACTATTTCTGTAAAAACTGTTGCATGTATTTTACAAACAATAATTTGATCAATTATAAACTAAATTTTACTACTTTAGCTACAGAAAAATAACAACGCCGAAAAAAATAGTAATAATCCTGAATTCACAGCAATCATACCGGCATTTCCTGTAAATAAAGATATATACTATCTTATAGAAACTAGTCGTTAAACGTTTGTTCGTTCTTTAAGGTTTAACCTCAGCTTCCACCTTGGGTGGCATCGCTGACTTACATGTAGTGTTTCCAGAGAAACTTGCCAGCGAAGTCAAATAATAGAACCAGTCTAGCAAAGGTAGGAGACGCGAGATCAATTATGAGGCCTATTTGATTTTGTTTTTTATTGGTAAAGACACAATGTCTTTTGCAGGGTATCGTCCATGGTACATGTAAGTTCATCTAAGTGTTAACTGTCTCTGTTTTTTTAATGGACTCTGGGCATGTGACCACAGCATACGAACAGTCGTATTACGTCTTTCTTGTAATTCTTTTTTATTTTGAGTAAAGCCTGTATTATTACGGTTGGTCCCCGAATGCATTCACTTGATATGATATTTGTTGTTTATTTCTTGCAATGTCTGTGTAGTATGTCTCGTAGTCTTATTGGTTTTATTTTGTGTGTAGTGCAGTTCTCCTGTAGTTACTAATTGAATTAGATTACAATATCTGAACACACTTTATTCATTTATTTTTTTAAATCAGGACATACATGTACACCCAAAATATTACTGTAGCCTACTGGAAAGGAAGAGAGAGAAAACGTCTTCTCGATGTGGGTGGGAGAAAAAAAGAAATGAAATGAAATGGGGTTTAACGTCCTACTGTTCTGCTCCGAACTGGGCTAATGAAGACGGGCATACGCCATACAGTGTGCTATGAGGGAAATTTTGCCCGGACAGTGGTGCTATGGCCTACACTTATATCGAAATCCAACTGCCAAGGGATCTTTTACATGCACGCCAATGTGTACACGGGACCTCGGTTTTTGTCCCATCCAAACAACTAGACAGCTGTCCTGGTCAGGTTCTCCGTCCTGCATCACTGACAAGGGGGAACCATGCCGGAAAATCTGGATGAACTTTCGCAGCAAATGCAGGGATCGAACACCCAACCTCCAGACTAGCAAGCCAACATCTTATCAACTTAGCCACTTTGACCCCGGGAGAAAAAATGAAGTCCTGTCACTGTAGCCCGGTATCATTTAATTTTGTGTATTTAACCCTAATTTCTTTCACATTCATTCAATATCAACCCGTTATTTGAAAATTAGAAAAATTTGTTTAAAACCACCCAAAATCATCTAATTTGTACTTATATGGCCACTTTAAAGCTGACTGTTTATTTTTGATAACCCAGTGTTCAATTTACAAATATTTAATTTCCCGACAAATGTTCAAAAAAAAACCCTCAATTGGTTATTGATGTACCTGTATAATATTTAATTGGTATGTCATTTTAAACAGTGATCGGGTTAGAGGGTATGTACAGGTACATGTACATGTAGTTACATGTAGTTACATGTAGTTAAATGTACATGTACATGTATGTGGAGATGCAAAGGAAGTAAATGTATACATACGGTTAGATCTATCTCACATGGCCACCTGCCGATTTCTCCAAGGTCACGAGATGTAAACAGGGTTAGGGCACATGATTGTTGCCGAGGATTGTAGTTTAGGGTTAGGGTAAGAGTTAGGGTAAGGCTTAGGGCTAGCGCTGTTTACATCTTTTGACCTATGACAAAATCTGCACATGGCCATGTGAAAAAGATTTAACCATATACATGTACAGACTTACATGTAATTGTAGAGAACCATTCATTTAGACTCAAGTGGTTGAGGCATCAATATTTTTCAGACTATTTCTGCACAGTTTTGTGTTCGTTTGCACTTGGTTAGCAGAAATGAAATGAAATGGGGTTTAACGTCCTACTGTTCTGCTCCTATACTGGGCTGATGAAGACGGAAATACGCAATACAGTGTGCTATGAGGGAAATTTTGCCCGGGCAGCGGCACTATCGCCTACTCTTATATCGAATTCCAACTGTCAAGGGATCTTTAAGTGCATTCCAATGTATACACAGGACCTCGGTTTTTCGTATCATCTGAAGGACTAGACTAGCTGTCCTTGTCAGGCCCTCCGTTCTGCACCACTGACAAGGGGAAACCAAGTCGGAAAATCCCGATGAATTTTCTCGGCCAATGCAGGGATCGAACACCCGACCTCCAGGCTAGCGAGCCATCGTCTTAACCACCTAGCCATTGTGGCTCCCACTTGGTTAGCAAGCTCAACCTATTTTGCAAATGCGTGAAACGTGAGACTTCTCGTTTACAATATACATGTACATGAATTTCATTAAAAAAAAACACCCCAACCTTAACCAATATCTGTGATTTTTGAAACATGCTACATGTACGTAATTGTGTGTACTGCAGTATAAATATCTACATGCTATAAATATTCCTGGATATACATGTGTATATCACTGATATATAAATATCACTGGGTACAGGGGAAAATATTATAAATTAAGAATAGATATTTAATATTTATGTTAACACTGTAACCTGTGTATCGTTTACAATCTTGTGCAATTAGTAGTAATTTCTATCACATTCGTTATCAAATCTTGATTTTAAAATTCATGAAACTACCGTAGTTCAGTCATTTAATTTGTAGTTGTGTCCCGTTTAAAGCTGACCATTTAGTTTTGATAACAAGCATCCAATTTCCCCCAAACTGTTAAAAATAACGTGGAGATTGATTATTAATGTGTATATAGTAATTAATTAGGACACTATTTTTGAATAATGATCGGGAAAATACATATTGGATGATTTTAGGTGATCTTAGACAATTTCTACGAATTTTTACACAAAGAATTGATTATAAACGAATATGAAAGAAATTTGGGATACAATGTAAATACGTAACATTAAATGATATCCAGGTAACAGTGTAACATGCTATAGATTTTATGTGTACGTCCCTATAACATCAGTACATGTGACTGGAAATGTGGGGTATGAGGACACGTTCAACATGTAGATTTCATGTCACCATCAGTTCTCTTTGGTAAGTGTGATGAACAAGGTTTGCTGTAACCTTGGAACCTGTGGCAGTATGATTTACCCAATACCACATATAATGAGGTAGTTTCAGGTCAGTATATGGTAAATCATCCTGCCCGTGAACATGTATACCAGGTACATGTTAAACGCTTTGAGTTTTATCATATGTCCCCAACACCATGTACTGTAACATTTAACATATGGTAAATGTCTTATATGTACCCAAGCATGCCTGTACATGTACATGTATATTCCTATAAAAGTTTACATGTACATGATTATATTAGACCTATTTGCTTTCATGTTGACAAATAAGCAAAGATACACCTTCCGATCTTGTGCTTTCCAGCCGATAAGATTAAAGTGTATGGTACATGTATATAATAGGCTTCATGCATGTTTTAATTCTTACCGATCCATGAACTACGATTACAACCATCTATGTTAAATAATGGAAATAATTTGTTCAACAATAATATGAAGCAAATAGAGAAAGAAATGGGGTTTAACATCCACGACACAAACAAGTAATTTCAGGACTAACATATGGTTTCATTTTATTTCAATAATTCTCTTTCGCAGTGGGGTGTGAGAAAACCTGACAACCCAGAGAAAATCCAGGTTGGACAGGCCATACATGTACTTTGTCATGTACAAGTTGGGAATTAAAAACCATGACACTTGACTCAATTATTACAGACCTTATGACCTAAACATACACAATTGGCCATTCAGCTACCCACAGAATCAAATAGAACTAGATTATATGGGATAATTAGATTACATGTACATGTAGCAATAGTTATACCCTTAGTAAAAATTAATATTTTTGCGAACCGTGTTTAAATCCATTAAAAAATCATGACCATCCAATGGTCCGGAGAGTTGATTATAGGCCTGTTTAATCACAATGTAATCACAATAACAACCTAATATACTGTTTCATTTTAAATAAGGGAAGTAACTTTTGATGCTTTGGGTTGTCAGTGGACAGTAGAGGAGGGTGGGACGATTTACCCAATACCACCACATACTACCCAGTACTACTACATAATGATGCAAAATGGACATATCATTTGATTGTTTTCAAAAATAGAGAGTAATATCGCGGGAATGTACTTTGAATGCGATACCGATGTCTGGCTGTTCCATTTGTCTCCCTGTGGTACAAGCACCCAAAACAAGCAAATACTAACCCATTACTACCAAATACTCATCAAATACTACCCAATATGATCAACCTCATATTGTCAAGTAACAGCACATTAGTATAATTACTGCAACGAATATTCAAAATTTTGCAGAAAATTGAAATGTTTACCCAGTTATTTCCCTTCAATGGATAAATAGATACATGTACATGTACATATGTATATATTTAAAAAAAAAAAAGAATCTCTTACCATCACCAGTATTTGGACGAGGAGAATCAGTATTTTCAGCGTCTAAAATAAAAGAAAATTCTACATGTACATCAATTTTCTGCCATACATACATGTATTTTGTTTGATACATTATTTTCCCCTAGCAGTAGGTACATGTATCTCTCAAACATTAAATGTGAACTCCAGTCATTGCTATTTATTGATATCTTATTCATTATCTAATATTAAACTTTGACTTTAATTAGCAAATTAAGAAGCCAGATGTTCTAAGTCTGAAAAACTTAGATTCTGTCAATCATTAGACTCCTTTATATCCAGACTGAAAACATAATTATTTAAGAAATATCTGCAAGAGTGATTGCATTTTTTGTAGCGCTATGAGCATGACTACAGTGTATATGTGGAATTAGCGCGATATAATTGGAATTATTATTATTTCATTCTTGTAATACCTGTCTAAAATAATCTCTCTGTGTGAATACACAATAAGAAAATCATTGAATTGAATAATGTAAGCAGGCCATTGTTTATCAATATTATTTTATGCATAAAAGAAATGAAACTGGGATTAACTTTCCTGTGTGTTTTGAAGGACATTTTGCACAGACGGTGGCATTTTTCGCCTGCTCATCCTTGAATTCAAACTGTCAAGGTTCCTTTGACGACCACGGCAACATGTACATGTCCCATCCAAATCACAAGACTGCTGACAAGGGGAAACCATGCTGATAACCTGAAGTAACTGTCTCGGCCAAGACCATGATCAAACACGTGACATCCTGGTTAGCCCAGGCCTTACTCACTGAGCCACTGTGTCTCTCTTTCGACAACAGAGTAGAAACTACATGTAAGTAGTCAATACATGTAGCAAAGTCCAAGATGTTATGCTTACACTTTCCAGAACAGAACACATGATACCACTTCCAGTTTATTGGAGACATTCTTCAAACATAAAGATATATCAGGACCAATACAATATAAATCAAGCATTATCCTTCCTAGATTCCTAGAATCAGTTTTCAATTTCATTTAGTCAAATGGATCAAAATAATAAGTGATAACAGGTGTTTTTGAAAGAATAAATATAATAATTGCTTGTACTGTGATATTCACTTACTTATTAAGAAGATAGTTTTATTGTCACTGTGCAGTTCTGAGTTATCAATCTTACATCTGATTACCAGACCATTATCATCTTGACCAACGTAATAGTTCAATATACTTCTAGAATAATATCCACATCGAGTTGGTGTTGGTGGATCAACTGTGCCTTTTGTTATATTCTCTCTTATTGGGTTAAAGAAGGAATCACCAATTGATCTCGATTCCCAGGACCAGGATTTTTCAGGATTTCCAACATCTCCTTGACAAGTAATCTCAATGTTTTCACCAACACTATAACGTACTTTTTCTGGAACTGGGAACATTTCTGCCGTAACAGGATTACCTATAAAATATTAAATGGAATATTAGAACATTGTACAATAAAGATGAACATGTATTTAGTCTTTCACCATACATGTAGAATGGTGAAAGACTATTGTTATTACTACTGTCTGAACCATCGTAAATTTTAAACGGATTTCTTCGATTATGAAGAAACTACTTGACTTTGGTTATTATAAACTTACCTGTGTGTTTGAAATCAACTCCTGTTAAATAAAATCCATTGCACAACATATTATCCCACAAATTTTTGACACAGAAAAATACTAATATGGAAGCTGATTATGTCACTCTTCGGGAGATATCATTTCGTATAAGGGGTGACAGCATAGAAAATCGAAACGGCTTTCGGCACTTTCACGTCAAGTTTGGTTTAAGAAAAAGCTACAAATCTCGGCTCGACATTGAGTTTGGGCGTTCACACACATAACTGTCCCTATTCTTTTATTTTGTTACCGTTTTTTACATTCTAGTATAACCTCTGCAAATTTTATAATTATACCTTGCGGAATACTTTGTTTTAATAATGTTTTGATTAGCGACTCGGATGGGATAATTTTCTTTTGAACACACATGCGACACAAAAACAATTACATTCGTTTTACCTGCCTGAAATATTACATGTACATTTACCTATGATTATCTTTAATATGATGTACATGTATATAAGCAACACGCTTGTAAATGAAGAGCCCCGGGGAAGAACGATCTAAGTCACTTTTTCAACGAACCCCAGTTAATGGTGCCATCTGGTAGCAAACTGTATAAGCTTTCTGTGGCACAATCAATTTCAGGAAAAAATGATCGGTGTCACACCGAACCAAGGCCCTTCTGAAATGGCCTCCCAGACAAATACGTCCATCGTACCCTTTATTTGACCTTAATTTGGCTGAAAAGTTAGTTGTTGTACTGGTAATTATGATTTGTATTAAACATCATTTTGAAGTTGTAATCAAACCCACTCGTTGTTCTGTTCGCATCAAGCATTCTCGCCCAAAAGTCTGTTTTGCCTTTTATGCGAAAAGACAAAAATGTGACTTAGATTGTTCTTCCCCTGGACTCTTCAAATGTTATTGAAGTGGTTATTATTTGATCGAAAGAATGCTATCAAATTGACAATACACCCGGAGACTTCGGAGGTGAGCTTCATGATCCTTGTTAAATTATTCATAACGTAAAGAAGATAGGATATTTTTAGTTTATATTATATACATGACTTTATTTTTACGAGTATCCGTGCAATCAGTCTATCAAATTTCATTGTGAATAAAATATGATAGACTGACGATCAATGGTTTCCATATAAATCTCCTATGTAATTGCCTTCAGTTATATTTTTCGTTGCCCAAACTCAAACGATCGTAATGATCATGCTTTGTTTTCATTGCAACACGTGAATGTCAAACTATCTGTCAAAATTAAACCACCCCCGCAACAGCTGCATTGATTTAGCCCAACACGTAATGAAAGCATTGTTGTATTCCTCACAGCCGAAATTACAAGTAATGGGATATTTAGTTGTGCAATGGATTTTATCGAATGGGAGTTGATTTCAAACACACAGGTAAGTTTATAATAACCAAAGTTAAGTAGTTTAATCACAATCAAAGAAATCTGTTTAAAATTAACGATGGTTCAGACAGTAAGATTATTATCAAGCTTTCATATGAGGGATGTCTGAACTAGTGCTTACATGTACATGTAAATGTATTTCTGAAATTCTCAATTAACCGGAAGTAGTCATTAATCATAACCAAACTTTGACAAAATTCGCGAAAATGTGTGCATGTGCAAAAAATGTGATTGATCATGGGCTAATACATGTACATGTACATGCATTAAAGTGATAAATTCGGACACCAAAACGAAAAAGTTATACATGTAAGGCTGTGAAAAGCACAATACATGTATTTTACGATTTCAAGCACATTGAGACATCTTTATCTCTAAAATGTCGCTTGCAATTATCTTAAAATTTTCTCGAACAGGGTCTAATGAAACCATTGTACAAATTATTGAAATATTAGGAGTAGCAGAAAAAAACCGAGATGGAAATTCAAAATATGTCAGAAATCATAATTTTCGGTAGAAACTGACTAAATTCCGTACAGATGAATGCTATTGTCAAAGCTTAATAATTTCAAGTAGAGTGTTTCCTTTTAACCAAAATATGGGTTTAGTCCTGCTAGAATAGAAATAATTTTTTTCAATGTGTAATAATTAGTCTTTGAATTACATGTAATATATGTACATGTACAAATGTAGCTTCTTCCCACGAAAAACTCAAGCAACCAGCTTACGCTGTTTATAAGCAAATCCAATTTGTCTGCAGTAATATTGAAAACTGTTCTTGTGATGTGATCGATGGCAGTGTTGAGATATATCGGCTGAGTTTCAGTTATTATTAATATTTTTAATGTGGTCATAATGACAATTATAGACTGACTCCAAAGAGCAGTGTCAAAAAGTAATTCAGATTGATTCTTTGATACAGTAATGAGACACCCATACGAAGAACATAATTATGAATATGTTAGCTATGATAGGTTGGTGTAGATTGTCTTGATTGCGCTCACTGTGAGGTCTTGGTATTGTGAAAGCCTCACTCAGTATTGTGCACAATTCTAGTTACAGTGTATATTCTTGTTTCTCACTGAACATTTAAAATATTATTGAGAACATTTCATACATGTAATCTACATTTGTATATTTTTATTTGAGAGTAGAGACACCTCTATTCTTTGTTGTTGTTTTTTTTTTGAGTGAAACCTGTATATGTATTAAAAGGCCCAGGACTCTATACAGCGCAGTGGATGCCTACGGCTGACTGAAAGGGCTAATGCAGACAGGCAAATTTTGCAATGATAGCGGCGCCACAGCTTACTCTTATTTTAATTTCACATTGTGTACATGTACATGGGACGTCAGTTTTTTTTATCCCATCTGATGAGTGACTATACATGTACATTTTACATGTACATGTACATGTAGTTCTTTGTCAGGCCCTCCATCATCCTACATGTACATGTACATGTACACCACTGACGAGGGGGAACCAAGTTAGTAAATCCCAATGAACAATGAACACAGGGACTGAACATGGGACCTCCAAGTTACCAAGCCAACACCTTACAGACTGATCCAATGTGGCTCCCATATTTGAACATAAATATGTGGACATTACACAAATATAAATTGTACCCTGTACATGTACATGTATCTGAATTTATACTGTAAATAAACCAATGAGATTTGGAATTTGAAATACATGCTGTAGTGTTGCTGTCCGTGAAATTTCCCTTTTGGGATTTAGATAGCATTCTTTCTATTGTTTTTAACGCTCACAAGATTTCCCAAATTTTAATACAGACAATCAAATAGCTCAGTGATTTAGATGTACATTATACACTGTTCAGTCAGAGTTTTCTGAATTTTTATATGTACATTATACACTGTGCATTCGAAGTATTTTGAATTTTTACATGTTCATTATACACTGTACAGTCGAAGTATTTTGATTTTTACATGTACATTATACACTGTACAGTCAAAGTATTTTGAATTTACGATACGGTTCCTCCTAAAGCCCATATGACCACTACATGTACATGTACAAGCACAACCAGTTCTACAAACAGTAAATTTAGCATTTTGTCCTGTAATTTGTTGTGTTTACAAGCTTTAATAGACAAAATTAAAAGATGACCAGAAATGGTTTGTGTAACTTCAGAATGTACATATATGCATGGAAGAAATGACATACAACACATCCAACTGTCGTAAAAAATACAATTACTTACTTTGAACTGTGACATTTTTATCTTCTTGTAACGTCCCTGGATTAGTAGCTATAGTAGGTTGTCCAGCTGTTATACACTGATATTCAGCAGCATCATTACAATCAGGATTATTAATAATAATTTGTAGGAAGCCTTGGGTTGGTTGCTGGGTTATATCATAATTACCAGTCACTGTATATTTAGGTGGTGTTATTCCTGTTCCAGGTTTAGTACCTATCCCATTTATTACTGCCATGTTTGTTGTTTGTGAATTCTGTACCATGGTACGTTTGTTTATCGTTATACTGTATAGTGTAGTATAAACAGCATTAGAAACAGGTGAACACCGTAATGTTAAAGATGTAGCACCTGCCTGTAGATTCTGTGATGGTGATATTGTGAGCCTAGCAGCTTCAACATCTGAAAATGTATACCAAGAAAATAATAAAGTTTACATGTAGTACATTTTCACCCATAAATTATGTTTAAAAGGGTAATCTGAATGCATGTCACAAAGAGCATACATGTACATGTACTTATAAGTGAGTCTATGGTACTGGATTATCATACATGTACATGTACATGTAGCAACAGATAATCAATATCATTTACATGTACATATAATAACAATTGCAATTGACACACATGATACGTACACCATACATGTATATACTAATTCAACTCTGGAGTACATGTACAGATATACATGTACATGTACTACACATGCATGTACATGTACATGCATCTTTGTACATGCAGAAGGAGAATAACGGAAATCGATAGGGCTCATCCACTCAATGTCCCAACTACTGTACATGTACATGCACGTCCACATTTGTACATGGAGAATAAGGGAAATTGATAGGCTCATACACTCATTAATTATCCCAACTACATGTATGCTTATACACAAAATTTGAAAAAAATTGATTAAAAAAATTGCAGTTTCTTATCGCCTTCACAGCAAAAATGTAACTCTATTGTGGTGTTCATCCAATGTGTTCTGATAGATATTATTAGTGCCCATGTACTTTGATCAAATGTGAGCTTGTCATTGGTTTCAAAATGAAAACAATAGATCAAACATAAACTAGGTGCTTGTGTGACGAAATGATACTAGAGTACATGTATATCCTTTAATTTAGTTTAAACTGAAAGTGTCTATCAGTAACACATCTACATGTACATCAGGGTGTCATGAAGACCCCATTGTTTTTTAAATAATAAGATCAAATCAAACATTTCATCCTGGGAAGAACTCACTCAGCCTTTCCTATGGTCCTACATGTACATTAGATCAACTCCAAAGAGCCTATTGATGTTCTTGAGAGCAGAGAAGTTTGTAATCAATAATTCACTTTGTTCAGCAAGAATAAGAGTTCCACAAACCTGAACCTATGGTAAATTTTTTTAGACACCAGGGAAAGCACAACACTAGAAGTCCAAGGCGGATAACAATTTACATGTACAGTACCAGTTATACATGTAGTAGTACAATGTACATGTACTATCAACACATTGCCTCACGGCCGTACATGTATGTTTAACCATGGTAAAGGTTGTTTTTTTTCATATTTTTCATGCCCCAAGGTAATTACATGTAAGTGTCACCAAGATGTGCTTTACACCAACACATACATGTAAATTTTTTAGAAGATCCAAAAAGCACACCTTGTCCCGTGCATTCATCGAAAAATCAGTTGAAGATATTGACACTGTAACACGTTCAAAATTAGTAGCCATACTTCCCAAACCAATAAAAATGAAAAGGCAACAAGGAATTATTCGTTTTATGACTACGATATTGAGTAGACTGGTTATTATGATCTTACTTCAACAAAAATCGGTCAAAATTTATCTTTTTTATTCTCTAATTAAATTAAAAGTTCTTGAATCTTTGTGTACAAATGTATATCTTATTGTAACCATTAGACGACCCATTGGTCCCCATGAGATGGTCCATCTGACCAACACCATTAGGCCCGATGGGCTATCCTGAGTGATGTCAGAAAAATAGGTATAATTCCACTTTTCTTTAAGGTGAAGTATTGAAACTGTATGTTTATAGGTTAATATCTGATAGCAAAGATTAGTTATCCTCAGTGATTTGTAACTAAAGTTATCTGTAAATCAGCCCATCGAATCCCACTCCCCCCTACATGTACTAGCTCTGTAATGGAAGGTAGTGGAATGCAGATTATTGCTAGGGTTCTACCCTGACGAAACAGCACAGAATGGTGAAAATTGATAGTTTTCATGTTCCCAAATTCATCACATCTTTGGGATATAAACATGTACATCACATTTCAAGAAAGGGAGAGAGAGTTTAATAATGTCCACTCGACACAAACCAGATGTGTCCTGCACCACTGATAGGGGAGAAAAAAGCACATTGGTAAAATACATGTACGTTGGGAATTTCTCGGCCAACATCAAGAGTCAGTGTCTTACTCTCTGAGCCACCGTGGCTTTCTTGTCATTTAAAAGGAAGCCTTAGGAAATCTCAGTATCGTGCCGGAATTTTACACAGAATTACATTTCCCTTCAAACTTTAGTCGTAGAGAGAAACTTGGTGTGGCTCGCTCATTTGTGTCATAAGGTACATGTAATGAAATGAAATGTCCTACTTTTCTGATCCTACTGACAGGGCTCATGAGGAGAGGCATATGCCATACGATGTGCTATTAAGGATATTTTGCCTGGACAAAAGCGCTATGGCCTACTCTTTATTTTGAATTCCAACTGTTAAGGATTGTTTCATGTGCATGCCAATGTGTACATGTACACAGGACCTTGATATTTTTGTCCCATAAGAATGACTAGACACTGTACCTGGCACGTTCTGTCATGCACCACTGACAAGAGGGAACCATGCTGGAAAATGGTATATTACATGTCATACACAGAGATTTGCACGAAAATTTCCCAAACACTTTTATACAGAGTTGAAGTGTGAAATTTTTTTTTTAAACTATATTTTATTCAATAAGAATGGGATTGGGGAACAGGCTAGGCCTATATCATTTAGAGGAGGACACAACAAAATAGTATATATCATGGAACCTACATATAAATTCCAAATAGGATTAGGTTCTTTGTAGAAAAAGTTAATATTGAAACACAAGGGACATAACTCTTATATTGCATGAAAACGCTGGCTTGGAAATAGCATTTTAAAGGGAATTTTTTTAAACAAATTCGCATAAGAACAGGGTCAGACAAATTGGACCAAAGACCACTCGGACAAATGCATTCAAGAACGGTATATTATTAAATATAGATATAAAATAATATCATATGAGTTGAAATAATGGTGTCTTTGGATAAACTGTACTAGCGACCCGAGACATGCATGTCTTCAATATTAATTTTGTAATTTTATTGCAAGAGGCGTATAAATTATATACACACCTACATTTATTCTTGTTCCCTATGGAATGTCCGGCGTCATTCCCTCTTGTCAGTGATGCAGGATGGAGGGAATGACAAGGCCAGCTCTCTAGTCGTTTGGATGGGATGAAAAACCAAGGTCCTGTGTACACATTGGCATGCACGTAAAAGATCCCTTGACAGTTGGAATTTGATATAAGAGTAGCCCGTAGTGCCACTGTCCGGGCAAAGTTTCCCTCATAGCACACTGTATGGCGTATGCCCGTCTTCATTAACCTATAGTTAGGAGCTATGGAATGCCAAATCGGCCATACAGTATACCAAAATTCATAATTTAGGATTCTATTTTGAATATTTTGTAGCATCAATCTAACACCAAAATGTTCTCTTTTTTTAACCAAAATGCTGTTTCGTCTATAATCCTACAGAATGCCAGAATTGGGCAAATTGTCCTATCTATTTATCGTCCGATATGTCTTACTCTTTCCCTGGCTTCTACATACAAGCTGTGAGTGTGATAGATAACCCGTAATATTGCCGTCATTTCGGATACCAAATATGTCTAATTCAATTGTACATATGATTCATGCATAATAGGTATAATACGTATATACACAGAAAAACTATGAAATCGTAGGTCAAGGGCGTAAATAGTTTGTATATCCTACATGACAATACCTGTTTTAAAACTGCAAACGGATATAAAATATAAACTCGCACGACATCAGTAACTGACCATCTGAAATAACTTGATAGCCTACCTTTTAATACTAAAACACAAATTAATACAACAAGCGGCAAACACAATAATCCGTTAAATAACTTCATCTTTCTTGAATAAATCAACGGTTATTACAACATAAATATTCCGTTTAAACTTTGTAATGGCGCCCTCCTATAACCGTTACACCTGTGGTGGTGACTCGTCTTTGAAGTATTCCTCCGCGTGTGCACACACACACACACTCAGGTAAAAAAGACAATGATTAATAATGATCTAGAACTTTTTATTTGTTTCCCGTAACGAAGTAATCCTTCTGAATTATAATAAACTTCAAGCTTCAAGTCTAAACTACAGGAAATCACAAAACACAAATAAATTAAATTAGTCTCCGGACTATTTCGCGTTCACCTGTCGTATGTGTGATTTGACTACAGGTATTTTCGTGTTCTAGTTATTTTAGCTTGTCGTCTGATATCTGTAGCGTGTATTGTAACGATATCTATCTATTATCTGTTCTCAGCTCACAGCGAGAGACTGTTCACACTGCACACGAAGCCAGGCCTTTGTGATACTTAAATGTTATGTTAAAGTCTGGAGTGACCGAGTGGCGATTTCCGACTGAAATGCGTGTGATTAGTAATTTATGATTCACGGTGCATCAACCATCATTATTGACAGTTGACACCATAAATATTCACGAGTCTCCCACTAAAGATCAGATGACACGCCCTCAATTAGCACATCGATGTTAGATTTCGATCCACAAATTTTATTTGGGATTCGATTTCTAGATAAATAAGAAGATGGTCCCCGTGAAATTATTATTTGATAATGACTTTATAACTTTAAAAAAAAGTTTTATAATTAGTAATTTAAGTCGGGGAAGTAATTACCACTGTTCGAAGTTTGAATTTCATTTTTAAAAAGTAGAGATTAATGTGTTTTGTTTTAATGACAGAGAGGTCCATACCAAAAACACAAGGACCCTTTATATTAAATACAACAAGTAGAACGTTAAACCCTATTTCAATTAAATGGAATATAGTCACTGGTTTGTTATATAAACGAGAAAACATGCCGAAACACTGTGCGTTAAAGTAGCCAAGTCTCTAACTCAATATCATCCAAAATCTTCAACATTGAAAACGCGATTTATTTGTCAAATTAAATCAACATTCATGTTGTGATCTTACCGGAAAAATATGGGCTTTTGATATCCAATATTTAAGACAAAATAAACATTTTACCATTGGTACACGAATCGTGTACCATAATGCGCTTCAGCCCCAGTTGTATCAAGAGACCC